TCATAATTTTAAATATATTATTCTTATCGTATCATTTTTAATATATTATTTTTAATATACCATTTTAAACACACCATTTTTCATTTCATTTTGCCAAATACCATCTATCACCACACCATTTTTCAATCACAATTTTGTCAGCATCATATTTCACTACATTATTTTTCAGATAATTTTCTCATATATACCACATACATTTAATACACGCTCTTTTCTCTCATAATTTTCACATATACCTTTTTTCATACAAAATTTCACCACACACTCCCTTTCATACAAAATTTTCACACACAACCCTACCACACACACACCACCTTTTTTTTTATAAATCAATTTTCAATTATCGAGTAACTCCTTTATTTTTCCTTCCTTCCACATTCCCCCTTACAATATATAACACTTATTTAAAAAAAAAAAATATCCAATCCCTTTATTTATTTTTTATATTAATTATATATAACATATAAATAAATATATTAAAAAATAATAAATAATTACAATATTATTATATATATATATATTATATATTCAAAACCAAATCAAAAATATCAAAATTAATTCTAATATAAATTTTAAAAAACAAATATATAATACTACAACCACAAATACAACAACAATAGCTATAACCAACTACAACAACGCACAATTACAACTATACTACACTACCAGACTACATCCAGAAGTTGTGGTTGAGATGACCACTGCAACCATTCCAAAAAGTTTGACTCCAACACTTTCGGTCCATCAATGGATTCGCACTGCCATCTATGCCTCATAACAACCCATCTCTCCTATAGTGTTGTACCTCTGAAACTTCCGCCACTGCCTTATGGGTCACGGTGAAATTCGGAAACTGGCGAATGGTATTCGGAAACTGGAGGTGGAATTCGGAAACTCGGATTCGGAAATTAGAAGTAGTATTCGGAAACTGGAAAGTGGTATTCAAAAACTGGACAGCGGTATTCGGAAACTAGACAGTAGTATTCGGAAACTAAGACGTACTATTCGGAAACTAGTATTCGGAAACTAGGAGTGATATTCGGAAACTTGGGAGTGGTATTCGGAAACTTGGGATGCATATTCGAAAACTGAAGTTATATTCGGAAACTTATATAATCGGAAACTGGAACCCTGGAATTAAAAACCCCCGGAATACGACCACAGAACGCTGGTTTGATTTTTTCCATCCGCGCAGCTCGTCAACGGTAATCCCGCTTCTTGAGCAAGGAAAGGATTATCGCAGCGAGGATAATTTCAAGTTAAGATCCTTTTCAATATATTGGCCAGAGGGGGGTGGCAGTTTTGATCGCTCTTCCAGATCAATTCAAGTTAAGATCCTATTCAATGTATTGGCCAGAAGGGGTGGCAGTTTTGATCCCGTTAAGATCCTGTTCAATATATTGGCCGAGAGGGCGGCAATTTTGATCCCTCATGAAAATAACTTAAAGTCAAGATCCGGTTCAATATATTGGCAAGAGGGGGTGGCAGTTTTGATCCCTTCTCAAAACAAATTTCGGCTACTATGCCCATGTAGGTGTTGCTTCGAGGGGATGGCAGTTTTGATCCCTCATGAAGATCAGTTGAAAGTAAGATCCTATTCAATATATTGGCCAGACAGGGTGGCAGTTTTGATCCCTCATGGAGATAAGTTCAAGCTAAGATCCGATTCAATACATTGGCCAGGCGGGGTGGCAGTTTTGATCCCTCCTTAAGAACAAGTTAAGATCCGATTCAATAAATTGGCCCGAAGGGGTGGCAGTCTTGATCCCTCATGAAGATAAGTTAAAATTAAGATCCGGTTCAATATATTGGCCAGAGGGGGTGGCAGTTTTGATCCTTTATTAAATTCAAATTCAGATCCGATTCACTATATTGGCCAGAAGGGGTGGCAGTTTTGATCCCTCATGAAGACAAGTTCAAGTTAAGATCCTATCAATAAAATGGCCAGAGGGGGTGGCAGTTTTGATCGCTAATCAAGATAAGTTGTATTTCAATCCGTTTCAATATATTTTCCATCGAGGGTGGTAGTTTTGATTCCTCATAAAGATCAATTGAAATTAAGATCCGATTCATGATATTGGCCAGAGGGGGTGGCAGTTTTGATCCATCATGTAGATAAGTTCAAGCTAAGATCCAGTTCAATATATTGGCCAGAGGGGGTGGCAGTTTTGATCCCTCATAAAGATAAGCTCAGGTTAAGATTCTATTCAATATATTGGCCAGAGGGGGTGGCAATTTTGCTCTCGTCAAGATCCTATGCAATGTATTGGCCAGAGGGGGTAGCAATTTTGATCCCTCATGGAGATAAGTTCAAGTTAAGATTCTATTCAATATATTGGCCAGGGGGGGGGTGGCAGTTTTAATCCCGTTAAGATCCTATTCAATTTTTTGGCCGAGAGGGCGGGAGTTTTGATCCCTCATGAAGATCAGTTAAAAGTAAGATCCTATTCAATAAAAAGGCCAAACAGGGTGGCAGTTTTGATCCCTCATGGAGATAAGTTCAAACTAAGATCTGATTCAATACATTGGCCAGGCGGGGTGGCAGTTTTGATCCCTCCTTAAGAACAAGTTAAGATCCTATTCAATAAATTGGCCCGAAGGGGTGTCAGTCTTGATCCCTCATGAAGATAAGTTCAAATTAAGATCCGGTTCAGTATATTGGCCAGAGGGGGTGGCAGTTTTGATCCCTCATTAAGTTCAAGTTCAGATCCGATTCACTATATTGGCCAGAAGGGGTGGCAGTTTTGATCCCTCATGAAGACAAGTTCAAGTTAAGATCCTATTCAATAAAATAGCCAGAGGGGGGGTGGCAGTTTTGATCGCTCTTCAAGATAAGTTGTATTTCAATCCGTTTCAATATATTTGCCATAGGAGGTGGTAGTTTTGATCCCTCATGAAGATCAGTTGAAGTTAAGATCCGATTCATGATATTAGCCAGAGGGGGTGGCAGTTTTGATCCATCATGTAGATAAGTTCAAGTTAAGATCCAGCTCAATATATTGGCCAGAGGGGGTGGCAGTTTTGATCCCTCATGAAGATAAGCTCAAATTAAGATCCTATTCAATATATTGGCCAGAGGGGCTGGGAGTCTTGATCCCTAAGGAAGATAAGTTGAAGTTAAGTTCTTATTCAATAAACTGGCCAAAGGGGATGGCACTTTTGATCCCTCATGAAGATTAGTTCAAGTTGACATCCGGATAAAAAAAAGACAGAAGGGATGGCAGCCTTGATCCCTCATGAAGATACTTTAAGTTCAAGCCGTTAAGATCCTATTCAATAAATTGGCCAGAGGGGATGGCAGTTTTGATCCCTCATGAAGATTAGTTCAAGTTGATATCCGGATAAAAAAAAGGCCAGAAGGGGTGGCAGTTTTGATCCCTCATAAAGATAAGTTCAAGTTAAGGTCCACCTGCTGGCTGCCCAAAATACACCTCAGATCACATACCGGAAGTAGCCCACTTCATGTGCGAACCCATGAATTCGGGGGATCCCTAGAATCCAATTCAACCAGTAGCTTCTCATTCCGACGAAAATAGTTTCTGAATACCACGAAATAGTTTCTGAATCCTACGAGCAGTTTCTAAATCCCTAGTTTTGTCCCTTATGCGGTACTACTGGCAATATAATTCCAATATGTAAATATATCGGATAAGATATATTTTAGGGAAATAAATTATAATTGATAATCAATAGCTAATTCTTAAATCTTAAACATATACTAATATAGTAGATAGATAAATTACAATTTTATGACAATTCAATCGGCCGAATATCTCTTCGATTTCGTAAATCATGTCGTTGACGAAGTTTCCACGCAGGGAACGCCGCCTCTTCAAGGTGACTACAGGCCTGACAGGTATCCTACCCAGGCTGGCTTGGCAATTTTGTTTTTAATAGGGAGATTGGGATATCGATATGATGCGTGGGTGTGTGTGACGACTGTTGACTTTAAATCGCAAGCGACATTGCAAGTCCAGTGAGAGCATTGTTATTAACCATGTATTTAAGGGTACTTAGTGACAACTTGAAAGCTCCAACCAATGATTGCAGCAGTATTTCATGTTCAGCAAACCGATCCCAATTTAAGCCCTCTGCCTGCAGTTGCACAGGTCCTTCCAACCTGGAAAAGTCCAGCTGCACTTGGATCTGTGGATCCTGGAGATCCGGTGGCTTGGCTGACAATCTTAACAAAGGTGATCCAACTGGATGCAATGTGGCATTTCGAAATTTGACTGCAAAGAAACAGAAAGTCTGAACCTCCTGTAATGTGTAAAACAGAATCATTGGTGCAACTGGTGAACTTGTGAAATCCGGGACATAGGCAAGTCTTCTTGTCTGAAAACAATATCTAATTTTCTGCGAGTGGTCTTGTAGCAGTTTCACAGAGCAAGTTACTTGCCCTTCTTTTCCAAAGATTTCATGTTCCCGCTTTGTGTAACTCACCCAAGTGATGAATATCTTATTTATGTTTGTAGTTGCTCAAGCAAACCATTGCCTCCGTACTGGCGCAAGGTGGCTCAACCACCAACCATGAAAATTTGCTTGCTGGGAATTTATGAGAAAATTATCCATACACGATCAAACGTTTGACAATCATGCGGCCTGGCCAGGAACAAGAAGCGTGGAATGCCAAGCGACTTTGAGGCAATGATAGTGAATCCCATACCAAGAATTGCTCTATCATCCTTGATCTTAGCATCGGAAACTATCCTCCTACAGCAAACGTTCTACAGCCAGCACAACTTAAATCCTAATTCTTGCGATTGCACCTCCCTTCAGTATGCAAACGGAATTGGCTGCAACCATTGCGCCTTTTCTTCCCCCTTCTCGCAATGATTTCGCCTACTCAAGCCTACAAATTAGATATGGAGCATCAAAAGAACATATTAAGTACGCCACTTGTTCCGCTCCATCTGGCATGCTTACTGGGAAGTTAATTTCAACCCGCCAATCCGGTTTTGCTCCTGCACATAAAGCGGAGTTTCGGTCTCCTCAGCGGCTCAGTTTTTGGCCAAGGGGCCATGAAAATGGCAAAATCATCATCCTTCAGAACAGAACATGGAACAATTTCAGTTTTGGAGCTATTAATCATTCCATCTGGAGTCCGGTGTCCGGAGCAAGGTTCTGTCTTGGCGAACAAAATGTAGCGTTTACATGGTCAACCTGAAGTACTCTGCGAAGGAATCAATTTTCAGCGGGTATGATGATACTCTATTTCTGCTTGAACATCAGCAGAAACGCACATATTCTTCAAGATATACCCGGATATACTTGGTTTCAAGGAACACCCTTGCCATTTTGGCATTTCCCTCAGGTTCATCTACTCATCTTAGAATCTTAGAAGTGATTGTACGCAGTGTGAAGGCTGGTAGCCTGAGCTAGAGTCAATGGGGAAGGTGAGGTTTGAGGTCATGATTTGCCCGGAAAGTTGGCACTCTGACACCCAATTTTAAGATAAAGCGAGATCGTGCGCTGCAAATTTGGATGCATGTCCGCAATGCCAGTCCTCTCGAGAACAAGGGAATGACATGGTTCAACTTCTTGATTCCATGCCCGGCCCAGGAAATGGCAAGGGGATGTTGGAGAATGTTGAAGCAAAATCAATCGGTGGCTGTGAGTTCCATTCGTTTCGGGAGTCTGCCAAAGCTCTCCCAACGTCTACTCTGGAGGGCAACAACTTGGCATATGTTTGAGGAAAAATATCATGATCAGTTTTTGATGTTCACATATCCCTTGGATTGACCACCTTGTGAACTCAGCATTGGTAGCTGGATTCCCGCGCTTGTTGCTTACACAGTAGATACACATGAATTGTTTGGACACGTCCAAACCCCTCATGAGCAGGACAAGTGGAGTCTCTGTTTCCACTGGGCATCCCTGCCGAGAGGTTCAAACGATCATTTGCATAAAAGAGGTCAAACCTTAGTCCAAAAATCGCTGGACATTTAATGATCTCTATCGGAAATGGGCGGTCAATCGCCTAGAGTCATCCTTCCTTGATCATAACGGCGATCCTATTCAACTAGCTCGCCAAATCATTAATTGTTAGTACGGTTCAAAATTGGGTACCATTTACCTCTGAAGAACAACATGACAACAATTCTGATCCTCCCCTTGGCTGAAACCAACACATCTGACATCAATGAGTAGTTCATACTCCAGTTACACCATCAGTATGGTTAGTATTCAACCAGTACAGATTGTCCAAGTTGCTGTAGGTTTATGTCCCATTTAATCGTACATAACCCTCAGAAGAGCTTATTAGTTATGATTTAATACGTGTGAAGCGTGTCACTGTTTAGGAACATGGGGCACCCCAAATCCAATGGAGGATCATGTTTGCAATTAACATCGCCATTTTGGGGTCACACTTTCTGGGCCCCATTTGAAAGTGAAATGGGTCCTGCTTGCAATTTCACTGGGCTTCCCAGGCAGATTGACATAGCCGCGCACCTGAGATTGGGGGCGCTGGAGCCAAGTGCTTTCAGCTTTTTTTCAGCATGGGAATTTGATAAACTTTGTCGACAAAGAGACATTCCCTCATCTTTCTTGATTTCTTTTCGAGAAGAATGTGGTTTAGTACAGGACCCAAGTACAAAACAATTCTATGTAATTACCCCTTCGGTCTGGGACCCCAAAGAAGGAAGTGCAAGAAGCTGAAAAAGTGGAGCACCAGTTTGGTCATCTTATCATTGACAGTGGAGATCGAGGACTCCGTAAATGCTTGGTATACACCCGCTGATGCAGCTGGAACCACATAAGACCTATCATGTCGGACCCTTTTTTGCTTCGCTTCCGTACATGTATAGATGGACATATCTCTGCTAGAACCGTCAACAAAATTATAATATGTATCTATATCTATGTATACATAATATACACAATGCAGTATCCTAGACACCCATAATCACCTTGCTGTTGCAATCGTTGAAGAACCTCCACTAGTTTTACTACTTTTCCTGTCAAGATATTTCAACAACAGCTATCTTCCCTGCCAAGAGGCTGAGATGGAGGAATCAACTCCTCCAGTTCCGTCCAGAAAGTGGTAGATCACAATTTGATCTTCCCTACCTGCCAAAGGGAAAAGGACAGGTCCCTTAGCTCGCTCAATTCATGGACAGCCCAGCCACAAAGAAGGACAATGAATGGCCCAATAAAGATGTAGGTAGTCCAGGCAATATTGGAGCAACCAGTGGAGTATATTGGTTGAACTCAATGGGAGCAGACCGACACTCATGGAAGGAAGAGCCAACGAATTCAACGTACCAGATAATTAGCGCAGCACTTAGATGTTGTATGTAACATTTGCCCTGCAAAGCCCTGAAATGTCTGAAACAGTGCTTATTCAAAGCACTTCTGGCAAACACCCCAACTTCCCCCGTTGGTGCAGTTGTAACCGCGGCGCCTGTCCAACCCATGGCCCCCTCACCATAAATGGTGCCTCGACTGTGACAAGGGGATCAAAGTCAGTTGGGTTTCCAGAACTGGTGATTGGTTTCACTCATTGCCTCATACACTGGTGGGCCTCTGCCACAAACTAACCATGGATAAATGGTGTTAAGATGTGTTAAGTAGGACTTGAGTGGATCCAACAAGGTTTTTCAGCAGAAGGGGGCCGTAACTTTAGGGATTCCTGCCGCCCTAGTCCTGGTAGTGAACATGCATCATGAGCTTCAGGGGTCGCTGTTTGGGATATGGCTACAGAATGGGATGCCCCAAAATCCACGTGAGAATCATCATCTTCCCCCTAAAAAATGTCATTTTTGGGGTGTATCCAAATTTCAGAGCACCCAGCATTCCGAGAAAGATTGGTACATCTAAACCGAGCCCCATAATCCCAATCAACTCCCCGACCAAATCGCATTTACTTCTGGTACAAATCTACAAGATTTCTGTGCACGTATGTCATATAATCAAATGATATGTAGGTAACGTACTGTATGGACCTATCTATCTATCTATTTATCTATCTATCCATCCATCCATCTATAGGTTGAGGCATTTACATCATCATAGATATATATAGATATATTTTTAATTTTCATATTACAGATATATAGATTTTCATATTGGAAAATATGTTGGGGCACATCCAAACATCATTTTCATATGTTTTTGTAAGTTTGCCCCACGGCGTCCGAGTGGCTGGTGACAAACGCGTTCAGCGAATCCAAAAAGGCCCAGCGCGGCACCGAACGGACGATGTCGCCAAAGATGCTGTTCCATTGCACATCCTGGACGGCAACGGACGGCAACTCGGGGCTTAAATGGGGATATGAAGCAAGAAATGGGTTTGGTAATGTCTTGGTACCTGGGAATTGAAGGGAAACCGCAAATTCCATGGATATATATAAAATAGAATATGCAACAACATATTGCCTACGTAGTTGAACAAACCCAAAGCTGCTTTCTCACCTTGGGCCCAGACCTCTAAGCCCATCACACCAGCGAACCTTGGAGAACATAGAAAGAGGGTCAACGGTGTCTGGCCTGCAAGAAGCTTAGAGAATGATATAGGAAGTGTACAGTAACCAGCAAAATGGGGTTATGATGGGATATGAATTCGCTATATTTTTGAGCAAACTGTACCAATTCTGAAGGTTCTGAAGGAATACAAAAAGCTGCGATGATTCGTCCAATCCGAACAAGAAATCTATGGCGAGATCGGTCCAGCAACGCTCCACCGCCCGAGAGTTGACCGGCCAAATGGTAGTTGTGAACACTGGCATCAGAGGAAAGTTCCGTGACCAGCTTTGCTCATTTCAAAGCATCTCAAAAATATGTGTACAGAAATGTATCTGCAAAATGTAGCTGTAAAAAAGGATGGATCATGACACATTTCATACCCCCAATATTCTAATGAAAAAAAACCATCCATGATACCCACTGTTGCTGCTGATTCGTTAGGGCATCCAACGCCACCATCTCGACATGTGACCCCTCCACTTCCAGTGCCCAGCAACGCTTTTTGGCAGAACTCGTAAGGATGGTGCCACAACCAAATGATCAGATCCTGTCGGCGACAGGGATCAGTAACCATCGGTAACGATGGTGGATTCCTGGCAGGTTGACAAAACCAATCGTGCAGAAAAGGATTCCGATGTATATCCTTCACCATCAGGATGTACAGTTGTGGAGTCAGGGATTTTGATTATAGTCCTTGCGGTCTGGTACTTCAACTTGCGGATGCAACAGCTATGGTGGTACAGGCACACAAAAGTTCGTATCCCCAGCTGGTACTACCTTCTAGGGCTCTGGGCCTCTAATTCTGATCCACATTAGCCATGTTGATTTTTGACGTACATGTACCGTAACAATCACACAGAGAATCAAAGACTTGCCTATTGTCAAACTTCAGTCTCAAGTTTCCTACATATATATACATATATGTATGTATGTATATTAAATATATACATATGTATATATATATATGACCCAGGACGCCCAAGCCCCCCCCACCATTCATGGTCCCCCCCCCTGTGGCCTGTGGTGGTGGTATGGTTCTTCTGGTCCCCCCCCCTGTGGCCTGTGGTGGTGGTATGTTTGTATGTTTGTATGTTTGTATGTTTGTATGTTGGTATGTTTGTATGTTGGTATGTTGGTATGTTGGTACATTGGTATGTATGTATGTATGTATGTAATGTATGTATGTATGTATGTAATGTATGTATGTATGTATGTATGTAATGTAATGTAATGTAATGTAATGTAATGTAATGTAATGTAATGTAATGTAATGTATGTATGTATGTATGTATGTATGTATGGTCCCGTGTCCCGTGTTCCCGAGAGCGTGAGCTTGGGGGACCATACCATTGGGGGGGGGCAGGGATCCGGAGTCCGGACTCATATATATACACACATCTATACACGTTGGATATACTCACTGTATGGGTTCATCTAAAGATAGATACAAAATTGGATGGGCACTTGTCATTATCCTCATTGTTTCATGGCCATATATTAGAATGGTTAAAAGCAGGTTTCACAAGGGGATCTTTCCATATATCTCCCAAAACCATATGCAGATTTCCAAAAAGTTGGGGTACCCCTAGTTCTCATCCATTTATAGATTGATCTCCCAATCTAAACCATCCAGCTATTGGAGTACCAATTTAGAACACCACCAGATCCCTCACCAACCACCAACCGTCGCCTCCATGAATTGCGCATTATCAGGGTGCGACTTCATGAAGACAACCTCAGCAGGTTGTCTTCGAAATTCTTACAGTGGATGATGATCCTCACTATATTGGATAGTTCAATGTTAGTACAGCCAAAACGGGTTTTGAATACTGCTCAGGGTATATCATCCCCGAGAAACAGACCTGGACGACTGAAAGACTTGGTGGTTTCAACCCAAAACGTTTGTTGCTGGGGCTTGTCACCCAAATATGGTTGAAAATAACAAAGAAAACTGAAAATCGCCAGCCAGGCATCTATGTCTGAAAACAAGGTACCAAATCCAACGATTTATCATCATTTGCCCCTTTGTTCAAGGGCCATTATCCCTGACGCTTGGACAAACCCATCCATTCATCAGTTGAAAATCACTTCTCCAGGAACTGCAAAATCTGGGAACCAAATCATCTCCCTTGAAGCAACAGCTAATTGTGCTCCAAAATTGTTGGATATTGTAAATGGCTGGTCATTTTTCATCACAACCATTACTGATTTGCTTTTAGGCAACTCTTGACGGAAACCATTTTATTGTTTGGCACTGCTGGGGAGGCCTGCGCATTTTCCAATTTGATTCCCTGGCCTCACCAGACATCTGAGGAACCCCGATATTGATGCACTCCGTGCCGAAATCGCGTGTGAGGAGCATATCCGCCTGGCACTTGGTGAGCTATGACCCCCCTGAAACCAGTGGTTTCACCATTAAAAATTACTATTTGTGGGTGTCTTGACAAACATCTAGAATGAATGGGTTTGTGTATTTGTATACCCAAGATGTCCCGAGTCCCTCCTTATGGTTGAGTGCTGGCCCCCATTTTACCTTCTGGCAATTGAAGCTTGCAATTGGAAGAGGCAATCCAATTCACCTTCAGTCCCCCAAGATTTGATGGTCGATCGTCACTTGTATGGTGCATCCCCAAGTATTGTCCCGCCCTTACCACAGGGTCGTCATCTTCGGCTTCAACCTTTCCCAGTAGCATGACAAATGCAGATCGCACTTTGTCCGAGTAGCCCAAACCGGTGGCAGAGGAAAAACTATACACAGATGACAGATAACTTTGTCTTGGGGGCTTCAGGAATCAATTCTTCACCACGGTTGAACCCATCTTCGTAAATAGCTGTCCTTCTCAGCAGCTTGAAGCACGGGGGGCAAGGGATCTTTGAAGAAGATCGTATCAAAGTCCAGGTACAATACCTTGAAACCAGCTGAGGCTGTGCTTGCAGGGGTGGTTGTAGGCTTAATTTATGGGAAGGTTAAGTAAAGTTGGGGATTAAATGACAAAGAACTGAGATTTGATGGGTGGCATAAGCAACAAGAAATTGGATTTGAAACAACAAACTATGCGTTTTAATCTTCGAAGAATTAGGATCAGTACCGATGGTATTGATGATTGACGGACCCCTACAAAATATTTTCATGCAATCGTGGTTACTCACTGTGGTTTTGCCGATCATGTTTGACAACCATAGCTATGACACTGTCTAAAAGGGGCGCATATCCGTTTGCATTGGACGTAAATTTACTTGGTATTCTATTGTGGCAGAAAATGGCTCAAACAGCCCCACACCATCTGATTGGTGAATGGTTTTTCTACACAAAACTCGTGACATTCCCTCACAAGGCTAGCACGTTCCCCAACCAGCAACATGCAACAATCATCATTACAAGTCGTTTCATCCCCAATGTTTCAAACATTTTAAAACCTCCTTTCCAAACTCACCAGAATCCCCAAGGCTTTTTCTTTAGTTTCTCGTCGCTGAGGCGCATCGAAGCCGGAGTTGACCACTACGGAAGTGAAGTGGAACTTGTTGGCCGTCGTCTTGACTTCTGGGCAAAAAGGGCAAAAATACCAGCTGAACATGTCATGTTTTTTTTTAATCCTGAAATTGAGAGGGATGCTTGCAGGATTGTGGATACATTACATGTACCAAGTTCGATGTGATTGATGGCAGGTACCGCTACTACTGGAGTTGTCCCATGTAGGTGCTAAAAACAAATGAGTTGGAAACCCTGATCAACATGATCTGCATCCAGTCATCAGCCCGCGGGGGGGGCTCATAGCGAGAGCCACCTGTTGTCATGTTGAGTCAAAGAGAATGGTTTGGTCCAGGATGTGAATCGAATAACAAGCGGCTACACGACTACTTTCGAAATATGTCTAGTTCAATCAATTCGATGTAGGGGAGCGGGGGGACCGTTCCTTTTTGCTGATATTTGGTGGTTGCGGGGATAGTTTGGAGTCCAAGGAGGCTTTTGCAAAATTTTAAATAAGGTGGTGCCAGATAGAAAATAAGAAATGCAGGGAGCTGGAAATTGGAAGTTGGTTTTAGAAAATATGCTGAAAATAAGACATCAAATATCTTGAACCTCCATCAAACCTCCGTCTAAAAATCATCATGCAATATCATGCACCCACCAAATGACCAAATATCTTGGAATGAGCCCCCAAAACATATCGTCAATGACTTATTGACTCAAACTTTCCGATCTACCAGAGAATACAATCATTAACACAACAGTGTTTGAAAACAAGCATCACTCAGAATTCATAAACCATCAGAATTCCTGGTCATACCAAACCTGGGTTCTTCATACATACAACAGCTTCCTGATAAAAATGTATATCTACTGACAGCTTTTTCAAATACCAAAATATTTGGGCACCTTTTCATTCAGAGAACATTGAATCAACTTCGCTGTCCCACCAAAAAGAATGCAAGCCTAAACATAAAAAACGTGCAGTACGTTTGGAAACCAACATCATTGAAAATTCAGCAAACACTAAGTTCGAACTCATACTAACTTTTTTCTTGGGAATTACACTTTGTCCTAACGAAATGTACAGACACTACTAACCACGCTATTCAAGACTTTTTTCCCAAACATTTCTTAGTTGGAAAACATACAAACATCGCCGGCCCAGTGGTCGCAACATAAGCAGAAACGCAGCTGATGGAAAGGTGGGTGATCAAATACGGGAACTATCCAAATACCAGCTGCCCATATTGAGTGCCTTTCCCGGCATGCGGAACCAAGTCAATGTACATATTTATGCGTAAATATGTATATATAAATATTTTATCATGGCATCACCTATGATTAACATGATATATCCGCACACAAATGTCATTTCGCTGAAGCAAACTATCCGCCAGCGGCCTCCAGGAACACAAAGCGCTGGAAAAGGATGATGGCTTTCACACACCTGAAAGGCTGGCTAGGGAAATGTCCCATGTGACGATGTGATTGAATCATGAGGGAAATCAATACCCAAAACCATCATCTGTTGGTCAAAATAGGAGGTATAACTACCAACAAAATTGACAGAAGCACGCCCCGATATACTCGTTGGTTGAGAGATACTTCTACTATGGGTTATAGTAATCCCTAGTAAACCAGGTGGTATGAGCCACAAAAATAACCAACTAACCATCATCTATCCATTATAAGCCCTATGTTTGAGACTTAAAACGCCATAGAACCATCACAATTGAACAGTAATTTCAAACTACCAAAAAACATTGGTATTTTCAGCTCCAGAGCTCACGGTCTTCAACTACACGGAGGTCAACTGCACAACGGCCGGCCTTTTTCCTGTAGCTGTGGGTTCAGGGTAGTCGCCCTCCGATGAACGATTCTTGGCGGGTGAAAACTGGGACAGCTCCTTACCTTGGTCGTTCCTGTTGGCTTTCACCTGGGTTTCTCTGAACATAAGCTTGCTCCTAATTTTGGATGTCCATCATTTTCTACGTGAACAGGGCTATTTGGGGGAACATACCATTTTCTATCTCACCTGCTTGGTGGTTGAGCCCTCAAAAATTTGCTTAGCGGCTGGGATCTTGATTGAACAAAGATCCCAAGTTTTTCTCCAATATCAAGGCTGCAATTCACAACGCAATGGAGATAGTGTTGCACAGATCTGCGACACTATCCATTGGGGCCAACCTTGGCCAACAGTCATTGAAACTCTCGGATGACCATCACCAGGATCTGTCTCAGCTTCACCAGCCGCGCTATATACACATCGCATCACAGGTGGTTTCAACCCCAGAAAGATCAACGACACTGATGATAAGAGCAGGGAACATCTGGCACACCCCCTTAGTATATTGTTGGAAAACTAGGAGATTTGTGACCCATCTGAAAATGAAACCACCAAGCGCGAATCAATTTCTCATCCTAAAATCACTCATCTTTTACTCCTGGGCACTAACGATTGCTCTGAGGTCGGATTGCTTGGATGTGAGGCCCCCTTCAACGGTGGGAAATTTGGGCATGCCATGGCATAACCCACTTATAAAGCTGGTGCATCCCTGTAGGAATCTGGGACTCTAAGCACTTTTTCCATGTTCATGTTCATTGATGAAGACAGGCCCAAGCATAAGCTAGGAAGCCGTCGACTCACTATCGACACTATCAAACATATCCAATGGTATGTGTAATGCGTCATTGGATACACCTCAAGTTGGATGTTGAAGCAGAAGGACCAATCCATACATATTATACAAATATATATATATATGCACATAAATAGATGAATGAATAAATAAATAAACACATAAATATATCGAAATACACCCCGATCCAGATTCAAAGCCATTTTCGTCATCTGTTTTGCATCCCAAGGAACTCCAGCACCGGCGTCTGGACCGTTTTGATATGCCTCCCAAAGGCAGGAAACCATGAAGTTCGGTGGTCCAACATGGTGAAGCAATTCTTTGCCAGCTACAACTGTTGGGATGCATATCCAAGTAAGCAGTCTGAAAAACCATTTGGAGAATCTCTCGAGAAGGTTGGTTTCCACGGGGTTCCCACTTCATGGATTATGATAATCATCTCCAATGTATAAAGGATACTATACACACCCTTTATTATCGAAATACCAATCATTTGTCAAATATAGCCCCCACCAACTCTCGACGAACAAATCCCAAGTGTTGATTGGACAAACCCCCCAACCTGTACAAACCCAGTACAGTACGATCATTAGTCCCTATTAAACTTCTTTCACCCAAAAAAACATCATATCATGGCTAACAAAGGTGATTTTCCCCGGTTTTTCCCATGCCCGGTTTTGAACATATTAAACCCGTTCCGGGGTCGTCCAGTTTCCAGGCCTGGACTGCTCCCAGTTTTCCCTTCTCTTCAAAGCACCTGAGTAACAAATTCACTAGGAAAACATGGTGATATTCCGATGGGATACCATCTAGTAGAATTAAAACACCTGGGATATCCCGGTGCTGAATAAATTTCATATGACCTCATGATGATAAACTATGAAATGTCCTACAATTTTGAGATCAACCCCAGGTGGCTTAGGATCTTCACAACCCACAGTGGATGAAGAAGACGAAGAAGAGTGACCTCGACATTTCACCTGGAAAACTGGGAACAAATTAGTGATCTCTGAAGAATTTCGGCTCAAAATCAGATCTTACTAATGAAGAAAAATATAGAAAAATGAATAGATGACTTTTCTCTTGGACATGAATAGACTTCGGAGTTCCATGCTAAATGCCAGGGGTTTGCGAAGTCACGCGGCCAGTGTGTTGTTCCGAACAGCAGAGACTGTTGGGTTTCAATCTCTGGGTCTGGGAGTGGTGCATCGTTTTTTGTGGGCCCTGCAAGCCGGAATGGAACCTTGGAACCCTGGAACCTGCTGTTGGGTTACAAAGCCGGGTTAAATTGTATGATATTGCCACCAAATACACTTGAGACTCTGCCACTACATAACTTCGGGTTACGCATGTCACTGCCGCTCATATCATCTCATTTAAATCAGCCACAATCTGATCTTCATTGGCCAATGGAAATGCTTCCAAGATTAGGATTCTCAGCATAGTCGCCATCGCAATCTCAAATCGCCCCTTCGGAGGAGCGGGATACCCAGCAACTTCAAATAGTGGGATCAAGATTCATTTGATCAGTTATTTGACGTTCACCAAATCAATCCCACCCCCGTATCATAGAAATCCTTCCTAGAAAATCCTGGTTTAGTTTTCAATACTCTTCATGCTTGAGCCTCTTATTTGGGGGTATCTTATATGCTGATCTTGCAGCGAGGCACACCCACCGACAGCCATCGCCAAAGCCAGGGTGGTCGTACCACAAATCTCCAGTGCCTTCAATACCTTGGGACGGTGACCCGTTGATGATTCCACCGATGAACAGAAAGACTTCGGAGATCGCTTTCACTGAGAAACTCTAAACCTCATTCAGTGATCAGCAAGTAGATAAGTACATGTACAGCTAAACATCAAATCGTAGCGATCCAAGGTTTCAGAGAATCATCAATGATTTCTGAATCAATCTAAACCACCAACTTTTTGATGAAATGTGAAAGCACCGTGGATGGTGAAGTTCCTATTGGGTTGACCTCAGGGAACCAACCGAGTAGCTAAACACCTCCCAGCCATCTCCTGCCAGCGCGGCAAAAGGAACGGTGGCGGTAAAAGTAACAGTAATAAAAGGAAATGTTTGTACAGTTGCGTACAGGTAATAGTTAAAGTCACAATGTTACCAGTAGATATAAAAGTCGTAATAGTGACAGTGACAATGATAATGATGATAGAAGAAGCAGTAGCAATAGGAACAGTGATTAGTAGTAGTAGTAGTAGTAGTTGTAGTTGTAGTTGTAGTAGTAGTAGAAGTAGTAGTAGTGGTAGTAGTAGTAGTAGTGGTGGTAGTAGTAGTAGTAGTAGTAGAAATAGTAGTAGTAGTAGTAGTAGTAGTAGTGGTAGTAGTAGTAGCAGTAGTAGTAGTAGTAGTAGTAGAAGTAGTAGTAGTAGTAGTAGTGGTAGTAGTAGTAGTAGTAGTTAGTAGTAGTTAGTAGTAGTTAGTAGTAGTTAGTACTAGTTAGTACTAGTTAATAGTAGTTAGTAGTAGTTAGTAGTAGTTAGTAGTAGTTAGTAGTAGTTAGTAGTAGGTAGTAGTAGTTAGTAGTAGTTAGTAGTAGTTAGTAGTAGTTAGTAGTAGTTAGTAGTAGTTAGTAGTAGTTAGTAGTAGTTAGTAGTAGTAGTAGTTAGTAGTAGTTAGTAGTAGTTAGTAGTAGTTAGTAGTAGTTAGTAGTAGTTAGTAGTAGTTAGTAGTAGTAGTTAGTAGTAGTTAGTAGTAGTTAGTAGTAGTTAGTAGTAGGTAGTAGTAGCTAGTAGTAGCTAGTAGCAGCTAGTAGTAGCTAGTAGTAGCTAGTAGCAGCTAGTAGCTAGTAGTTAGTAGTTAGTAGTTAGTAGTTAGTAGTTAGTAGTTAGTAGTAGTTAGTACTAGTTAGTACTAGTTAATAGTAGTTAGTAGTAGTTAGTAGTAGTTAGTAGTAGTTAGTAGTAGTTAGTAGTAGGTAGTAGTAGTTAGTAGTAGTTAGTAGTAGTTAGTAGTAGTTAGTAGTAGTTAGTAGTAGTTAGTAGTAGTTAGTAGTAGTTCGTAGTAGTTCGTAGTAGTTCGTAGTAGTCAGTAGTTAGTAGTAGTCAGTAGTTAGTAGTTGGTAGTAGTTGGTAGTAGTTAGTAGTAGTTAGTAGTAGTTCGTAGTAGTTAGTAGTAGTTAGTAGTAGTTAGTAGTAGTTAGTAGTAGTTAGTAGTAGTTAGTGGTAGTTAGTGGTAGTTAGTAAGTAGTAGTAAGTATTAGTAAGTAGTAGTAAGTAGTAGTAAGTAGTAGTAAGTAGTAGTAAGTAGTAGTAAGTAGTAGTAAGTAGTAGTAAGTATTAGTAAGTAGTAGTAAGTAGTAGTAAGTAGGAGTAAGTAGGAGTAAGTAGTAGTAAGTAGGAGTAAGTAGGAGTAAGTAGGAGTAAGTAGCAGTAAGTAGCAGTAAGTAGCAGTAAGTAGCAGTAAGTAGCAGTAAGTAGCAGTAAGTAGCAGTAAGTAGCAGTAAGTAGCAGTAAGTAGCAGTAAGTAGCAGTAAGTAGTAGTAAGTAGTAGTAAGTAGCAGTAAGTAGTAGTAAGTAGTAGTAAGTAGTAGTAAGTAGTAGTAAGTAGTAGTAAGTAGTAGTAAGTAGTAGTAAGTAGTAGTAAGTAGTAGTAAGTAGTAGTAAGTAGTAGTAAGTAGTATTAAGTAGTAGTAAGTAGTAGTAAGTAGTAGTAAGTAGTAGTAAGTAGTAGTAAGTAGTAGTAAGTAGTAGTAAGTAGTTCGTAGTTAGTATTAGTAGTAGTAGTAGTAGTAGTAGTAGAAGTAGTACAAGTAGTTGTAGTAGTAGTAGTAGTAGGAGTAAGTAGTAG